ATACTCTACTTAGATAGGAACAATAACCCTCTTTGAATACTACATTTGACAATTAAAGTATGCCAAAGGAGGAATTTTTTTGTTTCCAGGCTTCTAGTAGAGCATTACCAAGAGTAGAAATTAAAAACACACAAACAAAAAACCTCGAATTAATTAACAAAGTTGCTGACAATGTCTCTAAAAGAACAAAGTGTCTTTGAGCAACACACTAAGTTACTGACACCAACATTTCATCAGCCTTCTGCTATTATAATTTTTTCTTATGCCTATAACTTCTGTGTCCATGCAAATATGTATGCACCAAACTGCACACGTGTGCATGCGTGCATACAAACACACTTTATATATGTAAAAACTTGCCAAAGTACAGTGATGGTCATGTTTTTTCCATTCTGACCCTAACATTTAAAGCAAGAGAGATACTAATTAATTAAACAACTATGAAATTTCAGTCCTGCAATAGTGCCTTTTAGAAGAAAATACACTGAAATTTTATGTAATTGATGAATCATAAGCCTTCAAGATTGGGTACTCACCTATTTTTAAGCAGAGAGGTGCCAATCACTAGACCTCCCACTTAAATAATAGGCGAGGACACACTGTACTTTGCAGGATCAAGTACAAAGCGTACTAGCAAGCCCTATTTTTTCTAAAGGGGCAACATGGTGACTCTAATATAAATATACTTTTCCAACTGTTCTGTCCAGTACACACAGCACAAAACACAAACACATGCTTGAGACACACACAATAATAGCTGTTAGTCTGTCTTCCAAGTGCAAGCACAAGAATGTCAACAATAATCCAAAACTGATTCAGAGGCCTCTTAGTACCCCCAGACATATAGTTAATGCAGAGACATTTTTAACACTTACAAATGAGTTTTTAATTATACAGTAGATGTGATAAAATTTTAAAAGGCTAAGTATACTTAACTTTTATAAACAAATTGTATCTACTTCATAGGCTCTCTGATGCAAGTACCCCAAAAAGCCAGATGATAAAAGTAGCAGAGTTAAAAAAAAATCCACACACACAAAACCCCCAAAACCATACAGCTAAGCATATATGCAAAACATAACTTTGTTTATGGAAAACTAACCTCATAGAGGATAGTTATTGAAACAAGTTTGTGAATTGTGCTGTTCAGCAAAAGTAGTTCAGAATTATGGTATGAAAAGTATACAGGACACATCTTGAACCTCATCTACTTCCTTGCCTCTCCAAAAAAAATTTTTAACAGAGATCCTGGCCTCGGGATAGGGATAGGAGGGAAATAGTAGATGTGCTATACCTTTATTTTAGTAAATCTTTTGACACAGTCCTACAAGACATTCTCCAAAAGAAAATGTACTCTAGGTGAAATTACAGTAAAGTGGGTGTACAATTGTTTGAAAGTCTATATTCAGAGGCTATGTCTACACTAGCGGCTTCTTGAGCGAGAAATATGCAAATGAAGCCAAGTGTGGAATATCACCAAGCCTCATTTGCATACCTAATGAGCCGCCATTTTTGCAGAAAAGGCTCTTGTGCCAGAAGGAGCTGTCTACACTCCCCCTTCTCGAGCAAGAAAAACCCTCTTGCTCAATGCCACTGCATTGATTATTTTCAGGAATAACGCAGTGCACAAGAGGGTTTTTCTTGAGCAAGAAAGAGGAAGTGTAGACAGCTCCTTCTGGCACAAGAGCCTTTTCTGCAAAAATGGCGGCTCATTAGGTATGCAAATGAGGCTCGGCGATATTCCACGCTTAGCCTCATTTGCATATTTCTCATGCAAGAAGCCGCGAATGTAGACATAGCCAGAGAGTTGTTATCAATGGTTCATTGTCAAACTGTAAGTGGCTATGTAGTGGGATCCCATAGGGTCCAGGATACAGTATTACTAACTTGGATAATCAAGCGAAAAGCATGTTTATAAAATCTACAGAAGACACAAAGCTGAAAGGTGTTCCAAGCACCATGGAAGACTGAAATAGAATTCAAAACAACCTTGATGAATTGAATTGGTTTGAATTCAGCAAGATGAAATTCAATAAAGTCAAGTGCAAAGTACTTCATGCACCCAGGGGAAAAAAAAATCAAATTCACAATTAAAAATGGGAAATACCTGAGTAGGCATTAGTACTATATGGATCACAAACTGAAAGAGCCAACATGATGCAGCTGTGCAAAAGGCTAATATTCATAAGAACTTAAGAATGGCCATACGAGATCATACCAATCGTCCATGTGACCCAGTATTCCATCTTCCAACAGCGGCCAATGCCCAATGCTTCAGAGGGAATTAAAAGAACAAGGTAATTTACTGAGTGATCGATCCCTATCGTTCAGTTCCAGCTTCTGCAATCACAGATTTAGGGACACCACAGAACAAGCGATTGTCTTCCTGACTATTTTGACTAATAGCCACTGATGGATCTACCCTCAATTAACATATCTAGGTTTTTTTTAACTCAGTTATACTGTTTGCCTTCACAAAATCCATTCTAGAGTGTATTAATAGGAGCGTCATATGTAAGAAACAGGAAGTAATTGTCTTGCCCTACTTGGCAATAACCTGTCCACTTGTCATCACCTACAACCCCCAACTTAAACCTGTCCAACACATTATCAATAAACTACAGCCTATATTGGAACAGGATACCATACTCAAAGAGGCTCTGGGAGACAGACCCATAGTCTCCTATAGACAACCACCTAATCTCAAGATGATTCTTACCAACAACCACAGGACATACCACACTAATACCAACCCTGGTACCTTCCCTTGCAACAAACCCCGTTGCCAGCTTTGTCCACATATTCATTCTGCTGATACCATTATTGGACCTAACCAAGTGAGTTATAAGATCAAGAACACATATTCCTGCGCATCCAGAAATATAATCTATGCTATCATGTGCCGAAAGTGTCCGTCTGCTATGTACATTGGACAAACATCTCAGACACTTCGCCAAAGGATTAATGCCCACAAAACAGATATCAGACAAGATCACAAAGAGAAAACAGTTTCTTGCCATTTTAACCAGAAAGGACACTCTCTCAATGACTTAACCACCTGCATTCTGCTACAAAGACCTTTTACATCTGCACTTGAAAGGGAATCCTCTGAACTGTCATTCATGTTAAAATTCAACACTTTCCAAAAAGGACTCAACAAACATTTGAACTATCTCACCCATTACCAAGATAGTTTCCCCAATTATCACCTCTAATACCATTAACTCACAAACATCCCTCTCTCCCTACCTCTAATATCATCAATTCACAGACACTTACCTTCCTTCCTCCCCCCCCCCCCCGCAGCCCCCTCCTGTTCTGCAATGTGATTTGTCCTTTTCATATTTGTTCATTTTTTTAATTGTCTCCTTTGGTATATATGGTTGTGACTACTTTCTTCCACTATTTGATCTGAGGAAGTGGGTCTGGCCCACGAAAGCTCATCATCTAATAAACCATCTTGTTAGTCTTTAAAGTGCTACATTGTCCTGCATTTTGCTTCAGCTACCCCAGACTAACATGGCTACATCTCTATCACTGTCCAATTGTGAGCACCATATTTTAGTAAAGATGCAGACAAATTGGAAAGAGTCCAGAAGATAGCAACAAAAATTATAAAACAGTTTAGAAGACCTAACTTATGAGGAAATGTTAATAAAAGAGGGGGCACATTTAGTCTTGAGAAATGACTGAAGGGGAACCTGATAAGTTGGCCAAATATTTTGAGAGCTGCTTTAAAAAGGACTGCAAACAATTGTTCTCTCCATGTCTGCTGAAGATAGAACAAGAAGTAATTGGTTTAATTTTAATCAAGGAAGATTTACAGTGGATATTTGGAAAAACTATTGAGGGCAGATGAGCTCTACAATAGGCGTCCAAGGGAGATTGTAGAAGAATTATCATTGGAGGTTTTTTTAACAGATTAGACATTTCCTATAAGGTCACACATGGATGATGAATGAAGGCCCAGCTGGGGAAGACAAGCCCTATCCCTGCCCTCAGTCCTCACCAGGCCGGAGAAGTTGGGCTGCCATGCCGCAGCCCCAGCCTTCCCAGCAGCTGGGGTGTGTACACAATTTTGGGAAGGCTGTGCCTGCCCTTGCCTACATTACCAGCTGCCCACAAGGTCACATGTTGAAGCAGCAAGCTGCCCTGTCACAATTGTGCCTTAGAAATCTTTTTCCTTGGTTGTCTCTGAACTTTGAAGCAAGCACCGTGGTATTTCTGCTGACGAGGGCAATCGTTACTCTGAAAAAAAGAATTAAATATCCACAAATTGGAACCAATCCATATGGCAATAAGCAGCAACCTTACATGGTGCTGTAGTAGGCTAAAGTTTATTTCTGAAACTTCTAAGTAAAGTAAATTTCAAAATTTCATTTTGGCTTTCACAACCCTTTCTTTAACATAATACTTCCAATTTGTACCTAATGGTACCCAGTGTGTTTGGTAACCACAGTGAAAGCAGGCACCACTGTAGCCAATGGGAGTTTTAGTAGTGTTTGTGATGGGATCTGGATGTTGTCCCGTATTTTTGTATTTTCTGGGACATTATGTATTAGCTACACATTGGAGATGGGTATGCAACTGCTCACCTCAGTGTTCTGTATTGTGCTCAAGTTGCTGAGCACACACAGTATCAATATAAAACAAACAAAATTAGTATAGGTATATGGAATCATTTATGCCACCAAAGAAAGCTGAGCAAATGAAATACAGAATTGGAATCAGATCAGTCTGAGACACTACTTGCATCTCTCTCTAACATAACAATTAGATAATTATATTCTTAACCAAGACAAGTTATACATTCTGTAGCCTGACTAAAATCAAGACCATACAACTGACCGTGAGAACCTACACCAGGAATGACTGAAGAAACACAGAAGATAACTCATTCTCCAACTTTCCAAGCATCCTATTTCATTTTTTGTAGATATGTATCTGGATGATGAACAAAAAAGAATTTTGTTAATAGCCTTTAATTTAAAATAACTTACTAGATATCTTTCTTCTTGTCTCATAGTTGGTGTGCGGATCATGTGATTCTGCTCCCCTCTCCAGTCTCCAAATCGACGGAAAAAATAGTTGGATAAAAATCGGTTGACAGGATCCCTAATAATATTGATGTATACTGGCTGTTCTCCTCCAAACCTAGGGGGAAATGTGTAGAGCTCATTAGATATTTATAGATGTACATTCTCATCTCTAAATCAAATGCTTTAAAAAGTTCTTCTCTATTCAAGTTCAAAGCTGATGAAAGACTGGAAGTTGTGTGAAGGACCTTATCAATGGTAAAAGTGCCTCACCTCCTTCTGAGAGCTGATTAGCCCCTTTTAAGCTGGAAGGTAGCTACAATATTGTATTAGGTTACACACATTTCATCCAGAGAAAAGTTCCCTGCTTAAAGAGCAACTATAACAACAACTATTGTGCTCCTTGGGCTCTTTCCTTGAATTTTTCAGTGAAAGTACTCTCTGAAGTTAAATCTGGTCTCTGGATTCCTATTCCCATGTACTAATTTCCCATCTGGGAAATTGCGTCAAGGCCAGGATAGCCAAAATGGAAGCAAAATGCAATCCATGGAGTTCTACACAAGATTTCCCTGCAAACACCTTCATCTTTAAAATACAGGCAATGATTTGAGAAATGCCAGTTGCAAGTATGAAATACTCAATCTTGTTTGGACAACTATTCACTAAAAATGTGCTACACAGAGCTGGGTGAAATCCCTTTGTTTTTATATGCTGTGACACATTTTTTCCTGAATTTTTTTAATGGTTATTATTAATTTAACACCTTAACTTTGCATAGTGCTTTATATAGGTTATTTTAAAAAAGAATAGCCAATCTATGCCTCAAAGAATTTAAAATATGAATCACCACCACATAGAGGTAATTAAAAGGAAGGGATCCAGAAAGTTGGGACTATCATTATGTCAAAAGCCCCCCAGATCTTGTAGATGAAGCCATAAACCAGGACTGCTTCTCTAGACCAAACACATCCTCACAATAGATGCTGGGATCTCTATTTTTTTTAATCTTTCAGGGGTTGAGGCAATTATTTACAATCTCCTTTCACCTCTTTGATCTCCTGCAAGGGTGGGGGAGGTAGGCGAGCTGGCTCTCTACCCTATCTTTTGTTTTTAGTGTTTTAGAAAAGTAATCACATTTCTCAATTCAATAAATCATCTTTTGGAGAGTGGGTTCACCTCACCAACCCAATAGAAAGAAAAGGAAAATTGCCTGGGGTCCTCCTTCAGACAAAGTATCTAAAGTGAAAAGGTTTCAAGACAGCAAAAAGGAAGTAGAGCCTGTTGGGAAAGAAGAGGTATTTCTAAGGAAGATCCAACCAGGAATTTGCCTGAACTAAGGATAGGGGAGAATGCTTTAATATTTAAAAAAAAAAAAAAAAAAAGACATGTTTATTCATGAAATCACTTAAGCACCTGACTAAAGTGTCACTGAGTTTGACAGAACACAAGCACATGCTTAAAATTATTTTGTGAATAAGGATACTTTTCTAAATTGGGACACAAAGCTTTGGGACAGGGAAGAATTGATCAGAGGAGAGAAAATTACAATTATCATTTAGTAAGAAGGAGATAAAACTAGTCTTTAAATACCTCAATTTTAAAAATTGAGACATTTTATAAACAACAGAACTAGCAAATACATTTAAAAAATATAAATGTTAGTAAGAAATTAAACTATACAACGTGTACTTGGTATTTATTCTATAGGATTTCCCAGTGAATTGGGTTAAGTCAGCACCGTCTTCCTCTGTATCTTGGACCAGTGAGTAAAGTCTGCAAGTGCTTATACATATGACTAACTTTATGCATATGAGCAGTTAGATTGATATCAGAGATCAGCTTCAGTGTCACAAGTTATCAAAAAGCCAACATAAAAAAATTGAACTTCCATACAGGCAGTCCCCGGGTTACATACAAGATAGGGACTGTAGGTTTGTTCTTAAGTTGAATCTGTATGTAAGTCGGAACTGGCGTCCAGATTCAGCCGTTGCTGAAACTGATCAGTTTCAACAGCGGCTGAATCTGGATGCCAGTTCCGACTTACATACAGATTCAACTTAAGAACCC